GAATGTTTCTTTGTATAACAATCTCCAAAAGACCGCTATAGGCTCCTCCCCCTGCGTGATGTCAACGCGTTTCGCCGAACGGCTTCCTCAGGACGTGTTCACAACCACCATGTTGGTTATGGGCATATATAGGTCACAAGTCTCATTTGATAGGTTGTTTATAAATGCCTCAATTATGATGTAATACATATTGAACATAGTTTGAATGCAATTAAAAGGTTATATCAATTGACCAGCAACTAGTTTGCTTATAGTTTCAATTAAAATTTATAAAGCAGATGTGTATTGATTTGTAAACTATCTGCACCATTATTGTGCTCTTTCTTTTTTATATATTATCAACATTGATTGGAAGAACCACCATACATTTAAAGAGTTTGTATATATTTTCTCTCTTTGCTGTCTTAGTGGTATTTTGCTCCACTCACTAATTCACATTATTCCTCTATGGACCCAACCCAAAGGAGGAACGTGTACAGAAAATGAAGAGAGAACCGGCCGAGGAGCTGCAGGAGGCAGCAGAATGGCAGGCAGAGATGGCGAAGTATTCCGTCCCTGCACTCCAGCAACTGCATGTCCTTCAGGGAGAGGAGACAACCGGTCTCTCTCCCCAGCAGCAGTGTAAGCTGCAGGGAGATCAGACAGCCGGCCTCTCTCCCCAGCGGCAGTGTTCCCTACAGGGAGTGGAGACAAACAATCTCACTCCCCAGCGGCAGAGTGAGTCCCAGGGAGAGGCGACAACCGGCCTCTCTCCCCATCGGCAGTGTTCCCTACAGGGAGTGGAGGCAATCGGGCTCCCTACCCAGCGACAGGGTGAGTCCTAGGGAGAGGAGACAACCAGTCTCTCTCTCCAGCAGCAGTGTGTTCTGCAGGGAGAAGAGGCAGCCGGCAGTGTTCCCTACCGGGAGTGGAGACAGGTGGTCTCCCTCCCCAGCGGCAGCATGCATTCCAGGGGGCCGAAGTTGTCGTCCCCCCCCCCACCCCCAACAGCAGTGTGTCCTACAGGGAGCAGAGACAGTCGGTCTCTCTCCCCAGCAGCAGGACAATATTATGGGAGTGGAGACCGTTGGTCTCCCTTTCCAGCGGCATCCTGTGTTTCAGGGAGCGGAGCATATCTCCCTCTCTGCCCAGCGGCAGCTTACCCTACCAAGGTTAGACACCAATCTCCCAGACGGCGCAGATGGGACCGTGGTCTCTGTGCCCGACTTACAGGGATGCTGGACAGCCGGTCCAGATCCCCAACTACCTTCGCAGGGATACCAGGAGGAGGGGTTAAGTGATATCTCCCCTCCCCAGCCAAGTCCCAACCAGGCTTCCCCGGCAGAAGTGCTGGCATTGGGGCAGAGCACAGCTGGCCCCTGCCCCCACAGCGTGTAGCCCAGTTACCCCGAAGGGATACCCAGGTGCAGTAACTGTTTGTTGTGAGTGGGCTACTCCGGTACTTGTTTATTGTGGGTGGGTGGATCGACTAACTTAGGCACTGACCGACAGAAGGTCAGATACCTGGTTAATATCCCCCCTAAAGGGTGGAGAGGCCTGCTTGTCAGCCTCTTGCCTTAGGTTTATGGCCCCTGGGAGATTGTGCACTTTAAAAACATTATTTGGGCATCTTGGATTTTAACACCCTTTAATTCCATGAGAAAATGTGCCTCTGCCCCTCCCCCTTTTTTCTATTATTCTCCAGCAGGGCGTTATCCCAGGGACACTGCCAGACCAGTTTAAATTGGCTGCTTTGTCCCTCCTCAATCTCTCATCAGCCCTTGCTATACTTTAACCTCATGGCGATTTTGTTCCGTTTGTGGGATCTGAGCGCTGTTCAAATTCAAAACTAATTTAGTAACCACCCCACCACAGCCCCAGTGCCCCCTTTCTCAGCCTGCCCCCCCCCACACGCCTCAGGCCCTGTGCCCACCACAACAGCCCATGTCCCCCCAATAGCCACCACTACAGCCCCTAACCCCTCCACTGCTCCTGTGCCCCCAATACGGGCCCTGCCCCCCTCTACAGCACCTGTACACCCACCACAGCCCTTGACATGATAGATAGGGTATTTGTTATAATTACATTATCAATAATCTGAGTAACAATACAAAGATCGTCAATGAAGAGAAACTGGGGGAAAATGACTAAATTGCACATCCATAGTGTAATATGAATACAAATATCTGAGATGGATACAAATATCTGTTACGAGTCTGTTGCAACCCTCTATCACTAAAACTCAAGAGCAATAGCCATATTATTAAACAAATCCATTACACCAATCGCTCATGAACAAATAACATTTTAGACCCACAAGGAAGATTTCTCATACAAGATGCTATCCTAGCTAATGATCACTATACTCTGGTCAATGTATACATATAAAATAACTCAAATGCTTCTTTTATGAAATTGCTTAACTTTGCAGATTCCAAACTAATTACAGGATGGCACTTCAACGCGGTGTTGAATGGTTGGGTGGATAGGTCTGGCTCTGCTCTGTCATCACACTCCTAAGTGGATCAGGGACTTCTTCATTTTCAAAGAAGCCTCTGCCTTACAGACATATAAAGAATACAAAACATTGAGGTCAGGAATTACACACACACATCTAAGGCTCATAAAACCTGATCTAGAATCAATGTCTTTTTAAGTCTCACCTGATCTAGTACATAAGGTAGCACAGGTTGACATACACCAGAGCTTGACAAATTTGATTGGAATCTAGGAGCCACGTTTTTTTTTTTTTTTAAAGCTAACAATGCTTTATTTTCAACAACAACAAAAAAATTCTTACGTTTCTTTCAGAAACTGCAATAATTAACATTGCAGGGTTACGGGGACAGGGGACCTGCACCCAGCAATAGTGTCCATTTAACACCAGAAGTGACTAAGGTGTTCAGCCTTGCCACTATCATCTCCCACTTTTGCTTAATACAATTTGCTTTTTACTGGTATTATGTCTCTGAGCTCACTTGCTATAGTGTATAATGAATGCTGCAGACAGACTCATCTTCCTGTCCTCCCATACTTCTACCTGTGAGGCCATACATTGCCTTCCCATAAGATATAGGGCTTAATTTAACATTCTGCTATCTACTAATACGCAAATGTGTCTAATCCCCATGCTCTGCCAAACACCTGCATCTATTTACTGTCCGTGCTGCACTTTTGACTCTCAGCTTCAAACCTTCTCTAGGGCTGCACCATTCCTATGTAACGCCCTTTACTGCTCCATTAGACCTCACCCAGTCTTAATTCCTAAAAACAAAAACTGAAACCTCAGTTTTTCAGGAAAGCAAACCAATTTAACCGTTTACAGCTCGCCCTCCCCACAGCTTACTAACTGACCTTGTATCAGGCAACTATGTCTTCTAACAACCTACTTTTCCCATGCATGAAACACATTGTACCCTTGCCTCTTGAGGTTTACCCCACTCCCATTAAAGCTTGTTTGAACAGTGCCCTCCGCACTTTCTGTTCCTGTAGGTCCAACTCGTCTTGTTTCAAATAATTGTTTGTTAGCGCTGCAGAATTTGTTGGTGCTTATGTTGTTGTTAAATAACCCCTCAAGGACGGCGGGCGTGTTATGCCATCTTTAGGGACCTGGTTCTAAACGCCGGCGGGCAGCATAACACGTCCCCGCTGTCCTTTCTACTTACCCGGTCACCGGCGATCGTGGTGTGGGGACTCACTTGGCATCCCAGGGAGTCCTCCTGCTTCTATTCCGACCCTCCTGGGCCATGTGATCGCGAGGTCCTTGCGAGGACCTCACGATCACATGGATGGCATAGCCATCCACAGCAATGCCAGCAGGGAGTGCCTGGAATGACAGTCCCCCTGCTGCCTGTAAAAACAAAACAAAAAACGTTAAAAACAGTATAAAATAAAATTCTATATACTTAGATCATATATATATATATATATATATATATATATATATATATATATATATATACAAACACATACATACATACATACACGTACATAGTCTAAGTGTATTTTAATATTAATATATATAATTATATTAATATCAAAGTACACGTTGAATATTGATTAAAGGACCACTCTAGGCACCCAGACCACTTCATCTTAATGAAGTGGTCTGGGTGCCAGGTCCAGTTAGGGTTAAACCATTGTTTTATAAACATAGCAGTTTCAGAGAAACTGGTGGGAGGGGGACCCTGAGGGTGGGGGCACCCTCAGGGCACTATAGTGCCAGGAAAACGAGTATGTTTTCCTGGCACTATAGTAGTCCTTTAAATATATGTTTAATTATATATTATATATGTCCAGTCTTTTTTAGTAGCCATTTAGTCACAAACACTGGCCAAAATTGGCGTTTAAATTAGTTTTTTGCATTTTTTACACACAAACAAATATTAACACTAAATTTGGCCAGTGTTTGTTACCAAGTGGCTACTAAAAAAAGACTGGACATACCCCATTTTCAATACCTTGGGTTGTCTACTATTGCAAATGGTATGTCATCATGGGGGTAATTTTCATTCCTGGGCTACCATACGGTCTCAAAGGCAACGTAACCAAACTGGCGAATTTTTTGTTAAAAAACTGAAAAATGTTACATGCTATATCCTGAAACTTCCCAAAACACCATAAAACCTGTACATAGGGGGTACTGTTTTACACGTGAGACTTTGCTGAATACAAATATGTGTATTTTATTGCAGTAAAAGCAAACAGTATTATGACATTCACAGGTAAAATGTCACGTAGAACAAATTTTTTTTTTAAATTCTTATTTTCTCCCATTTTTTTTATAGTTTATTCATATTAAATTATGTTTAATACCTAAATATTTGATGTTAAATGAAAGCCCCGTTTCCCCTGAATAAAATGATATATAATAAGTGTGGGTGCACATAATATGAAAGAGGCGAATTACGTCTGAACAGACATTTAGCGCAAATTCAAGGTTTTGTTTACGTTTTGTTTTGATCACAACGTGTACATTTGGCTCAGTCCTTAAGGGGTTAAAAGCTAATAATATGTAATAGGGGCTGCTCTAGATATGTAATCTGTGATATGTGATATGTCGTGTATGTTATAGATAGTACAATGATAAAGCCTCTATCCCAGCATAAATAAGAGGCTGATTTTTGCATGTATGATTAGGATAGGAGATTGCTAGCAGTGCTCTCTTGGCTACCTAAAAATTATCCTGTGTGATACAATAGTCATGCCTAATGGTTTGTATGAGTCATCCTATCAAATGTTGCATTTCTTATTGTATTGCACCCACTAGTGGACAGATTAAATGAATATTTAAACACATTTATGTAGCAATATAGCAAGCAAAACCACCCCAGAATCTGACAAGAAATATGATTAAACAGCATTCTGAACACTTAATTGACTCACCTTTATTCTTAAGTTTAATAATTTTATAGAGTTTCAAATTTCTTTCTAGTACAATGGAAACTAGTTTTATCATTGATCTTGATGATCTCAGCCAAAAAGGCAGAGCTTCAGCGAAGAGATCGACTCTTCAAAGGAAAAAAGGTGTCAGGCTTTCAGCCTGCTTACCCGACGGCTTAGCTCCGAGTGCAGCGATCTCCGTGGCATTCCGACTGACGCTGCACGCTTTCGTGCGGCTTGTTTACACATGCGGCCGAAATACCCACGGGATTCGGCGCATACCAATGACACCACGGCTTAGTGTAGGAAGGGCTGTACCCCCCACGAATAGTGGTTAACTCCAAACGAAATTCATCCAATCACAGATAGCGTATGCCTATATATACTCACCTCTCCCATTCCTTGTTGCCCTGTTGTGGTTTCTTCTTAGCCCAATAGCGTGTTCCTCCTTACCTCTGTAAGTCTTTGACCTTGGCCCATTCTAAGGACCGGTATTACAAATATTCTTGTTTGTGATTCTGTCTATGTTCAGGTTCAGGGATTCCAGACAACAGGTAAGTAAACAATTAAAAAAAATAATAATAATTTAAACCCTGGCGGCACTGGCCCAGTGGCAACAGTGGCTAGCTGCCTCCTATTCCCGAGGAGAGACTTTCACCAACTGGCACTACAAAAGTTAACTACCTACATGAATGGTAGGGATGTATGCATTGGTGAATATGTGTAAGTAACTCACTTGATGTGTGTGTCTACAGGTAGCCAGGGATGTGGTCACCATATTTTGTTTAAAGGACCACTATAGTGCCAGGAAAACAAACCCCTGAGCGGTGGGTGGGGGCCCTAAAAACTAATTAGGGGGGACTTAATGTCCTTCCCCCTGGCCCCCACCCCTGAGTGGTGGGTGGGGGCACTAAATTAGAATGAGGGGGGGACCTAATGTCCTCCCCCCTGGTCCCCACCCCAGAGTGGTGGGTGGGGGCCCTAAATTAGAATGAGGGGGGGACCTAATGTCCTCCCCCCTGGCCCCCACCCCTGAGCGGTGGGTGGGGGCCCTAAATAAAAAAAATACTCCCCTCCCCCCAAAAATTAACCCCTACCTACCCCCCTCACCCTAAAAATAATGAGGGGGGGACCATTTAACTAAGTACCTGAAAAAAAACCAAACTTACCATTTGATGTTTTCTTTCTTCTAAAATCTTCTTTTTTCAGCCCCCAAAAAGGCCAAATAAAAAGCCATAATAACACACATCTCTCACCAACACCCTCCTTCCTACTCCCCCTCCCCCCGTGCCAGGGTCACAGGTTCTGAAGGCATCTGCCGCGGGGCCGGGAGCCCTCGGGAGCTAGACTCCATATTCCTGGAGGGTGAGAGCCAACAACCACAAAGAAACATGACATACCGCAGCAGGCCACTGTCTGTCCTCACTATCAACTGTGGGGGCCTGAACATCCCGGAACGCAGAACACACATGCTGAGGGAACTAAAGAAAAAAACATATCGCAGGGGCAATGTTTCAAGAAACGCACTTCAGGGAAGGCTCAGCCCCCCAGTTACGCAACAAATCGTGTCCGAACAACTACTTCTGCAACCATCCCACTGCTCGTAAGTCCGGAGTAGCCATAATGATAGCAGCAGACATCGAATTCAAAGAACTGACACGAACCCAGGATGGACAGGGGTGCTTTCTTTTCCTAAAGGGTTTCATAGCGGTCAAAATATATACGTTTGCAACCCTATACGTCACCAACAGACGCCAAGCCGCATTCCTGAGAGGAGCACTGGCCAAACTACGGGAGTTTGCGAAGTGCCCCCCTTGACCCACCGCTAGACTTATCCTCTGGCCATAGCTGTATACCACAACGATGCATCCGAGCCATACAGAACTCACTGAATCTGGTCGATTGCTGGAGAGCCCTCAACCCATCCGACAAAGATTTCACGCACTTCTCCACTCTTCATGACTGATACGCAAGAATTGATTATCTCTTCATTAAACAAGAGGGTCTTTCACGCTTACTAAAAGCGACCATAGAACAGGCAACTTGGTCAGACCATAGCCCGGTCTGCATGGAACTAGAGTCACCCCTGTTCCGACCCTCCACATGGACTAAATGAAGCACTATTAACAGACCCGGTCACACAAGAGCAAATCGGACAAGACATAGACAATTATTTCAAGGAGAATGACCTGAGGGGATGTCGCCCATCACCTTATGGGAAGCACATAAAAGCGTAATCCAGGGGATCACTCATCTGCATCGCCTCCAGAAAGAAGAAAGAGGCATCTCAGGAAATGGCAGCTCTCTATAAGTCCATCTCGACCCTGGAGTCACAACATAAACTAAACCAACAACACAAAGTATACGGAGAGCTCATGGAGGCCAGGAGGACACTGAAGGACCTTGTAGTGAAAAAACAACATCTTCGCTACTTACAAAGCTCAAAGGGCTTTTTCTATGCCCATGCTAATAAAGGGGGTAGATACTTGGCCCGACTTCTGAAGGGCAATGTGCCCTGAATGCAAATATGCAAACTACGTCTTGCATCGGGCACGATCTCTACCTTCCCACAGGAGATAGCGGGGGAGTTTAAGGACTTCTACCAAAACCTCTATAACCTCCAAACACCCGAAGGGGGAGACTGTGGAGTGCGACACCACACCTTAGTTTCCAACTATCTGCACTCCAACGTGACGGAGGTGATTGACCCAGATTCCGCTGCGATCCTGGACACGCCGATTTGCATGGAGGAATTAGCTGCAGCCTTGAAAGGCACCAAAACCGGCAAAGCACCCAGGCCTGATGGCTTCTCCACCAGATATTATAAGAAATTTGCAGGGAGATTCCTACCATGGCTAGTGAAAGCTCTTAACGCTGTGGCAGAGGGGGGGGAAACTCGGACCGGGATCCCTATCCGCGACGATAACCGTCTTACTCAAACCGGGAAAGGACCCAATGTGCTGCAGTAGCTACCGCCCATTATCTCTCCTAAACGTCGATACTAAACTATTCACGAAGGTGCTCGCAACTAGGATACAACCATACCTCCCGAATCTAATCCACACAGACCAGACGGGCTTCATCCCCGGTCGTGAGGCACGGGATAGTACCTTACGACTCTTCTCCATTCAACACCGGGCCTGGAAGATGCGAAAACGCCTTCTGCTGTTATCAACTTACGCGGAGAAGGCATTCGACCGAGTCAATTGGCAGTACATGATAGCCACGCTAAAAGAGATGGGCATGGGACAGACACTCCTCACCTGGATATCGCCCATATATAGCAGTCCGCAGGCTTCGGTGCAGGTCCCCTCTATTATTCGCCCTGTCCCTGGAACCTCTCCTGCAAGCGATCCGCTTGAATCCAAACATACAGGGACATGACGGACGGGGATCGACTCATAAAGTTGCGGCATACGCCGATGACTTGCTCTTCTTTATCAAGCACCCTAGAATAACTATACCGAACCTTCTAGCAGAGTTCGAGCGCTATGGCAAAATATCAGGTTTCAAGTTGTCAGAGTATTTATATCGGCAGACATCTTGTGCTATGATAGAAACTAAAAGTGTATATTCTGAGTCACTCTGAACAGACCAGACTCCATTTTGTTATTTCAAGTTAACAAAGAAGACACTAGATTTCTTTCTGTAAGACTGGCCTCTTTGCCAGAGCTAAGGAATGCATAGTATATACAAACCAAGTGATAAGGAAGGGGGTTGGACAGACTGTCTAATGCTAATGGAATATAATCAAATCTAAACCCAGACAATTGTGACAGAGAAGATTAAATTTAATATTTAACTGTCTATATATATAAGGTACCATTGTATGGAAAAGGGTAAACTTAGTTCATGATCTGCCATATCAGAAATTATAGCAGATTTACCAGACACATAGTCTGGACAAAATTTAAGAAACCCTTTGATCTTTGAAGGATACGTAAGTTATAGTGGTCATTTGAGATAAGCAAAATGACGTCAAAATAGCCACCAGGAAAAGTTAACTCTTTCCTGGATAGGTATGTTTAGTGGGACAAGACTGCCCTCTACAGACCAAATACCTAATTTGCGATCTGGAAGATAACCACACCTCTAGTGCTTCTATTGGATTATCAACTGATGACGTACAGAGAGTATGGCCCTTTAAAAGTTAAGACAAAGGGAAGATAGAGAAGACGAAAGAAGAAGGCAGATGCAAGATATGCAAAGGAGAGGAGAGAGGAATTGGAAGTTTGGGGACTCCAACTCGGACAACATCTGAGACTAACACTCTACTCCTAAAACTCTAACACTTAGAATTTACTGACTTTCTAACCAACACCTCCATGCAGAGAGACTAACAATCGGATGAAATATCTACTCAACTGGTAATTATACTGGTTTCATTTAATTAAATTAAATTAATTAAAATGTATTAATAGCATTATATATGACTGGATAAAGCACGGTCAGATTTCCATATTAAGAAATCTTAGTTAACTAAGAATATATAGTTATAAACATTCCATTCTGCAGGTGGAATTAAGAATAATTATATATTGATGTGATATTATCACGTGTTAGCATACCGCTGTTTTTATCCAGGTGTATTGATTTGCTCTAAATTAAGATAGATATCTTTTAGACAAATTAAAAATCTGCTTATATAATGTTAGATTCTCTTATTGGATGGTTTAAGAAAATGAATTTAAACTGGATTAAATGTTATTTTATTTAAAATGACATCAGAATAGATCTTAACTACCTAGGAGATCTAGCCAGCATTGAAAGGGTTATTCTAACTGTCGGCTAAACTTTACGACCTTACGCTGCACTCTGAGGAATTCTGTTCTCTGTGTGAAAAGTTTCACTTTCAATCTGTGTAAGGATACCTCAT